CCCCCCCCCCCCCCCCCCCCCCCGGCAGTTCTACGACAAGGGTGGATTATTCAAAGAAAGAGAAGGATTAAAATGGACTCCCATCCGCCTCTCCGCCTCTGAAATCCTTTGCAAAACCCGGCACTCTTATTTACAGGGGTCCATGAAAGACGGGGGGAGGTGGGGAGACCGAAGGGGAGGGAGGGGGTGTGGGTGGGGTGTGGCAAAGGGGATACAAAAGACCCCCCACCAAATCCTTTGCTTACCACCCGGCTGGAGCTGCTGCTGCTGCTGCTGCTGCTGTTGTCCGGGAAGGACGATCATGCCTGCATTCTCCGGCCGGCCCCCTCCCACCGTTGCCCCGGCTCTTCCCCCTCCCCACCTGCCTGCTCAGCTAACCGGCAACGGCAGGGACCTTTGGCTGTGGTTAATGAGTGACAGAGGCGCCACGGGGCGCCTGCATGAGTGTCCCTCTGGGCTTCAGCAACCTGACGAACCGGCTCCTTTCCAAGCGGGGGATGCTGCCTGGTTATCTCGCACCAGCTGCTGCACACACACACACACACACACACAAACACACACACACACACACACACGAGAAGGCCAGATCCGGGCAGGGGGAGAGTCTCGAAGGAAAGGAACTCACCGCCTCTTGAAATGCGGCTTGCGGGCTATAGACAGCCAGCTGCCGAAAGGGTTTCTTGTGGTCCCCGAAGGAGATGGCCATGGCAATCAGGAGGCCGAAGCCTTTTTGGTGACAGAAGGTGGCCAGATCCTGTTCGAGGCCAGGCCGGTGCAAGAAATCCTGAGAAAAGGAGATTTAAAACAGGTTGATCCAACCATGCCAAGTTTTAAGAGGTGCCGACTTCCACTCCCGGAATTCTGGGAATTGGAAGACCACACATCTTAAAAGTGGCCGAGGTTGGACAACCCTGGTTTGGTTGGGCAAACAAGGGTCCTCAGATACAAATGGGATTCGCTTAACAACATTGGCAAGAAAGGACCTTAAACGGGACCCTTAACAAATGTCTTGGGCTCAACTACCGTCGTATGGTGAGGATTACCTGTACCTCTGCAGGCTCCACACACTCACCTGGAGACTCATGTACACGGCGCTGATGGCCACGGTGGCGGTTTTGCTGACCAGGCTTTTGAGGTCCTTCCGTAGCATCTGCTCGGTGGTGAGGCCTGTGGGAGGGGAAGAGTCAGTGGTTGGATTCAAGCCGGTTCACACCGGTTCATGAGAACCGGTTGTTAACTTTCTGAGCCGTTTGGTGAACTGGTTTTGGGGAGGAAAAAATCATTAGGGCGGAGAACTGGTGGTTAAATTATTTGAATCCCTCCAGTGGGGAGTCTCCCAATTTTGGGGGGTGGGGGGAGTCACCAGGCATTCCTTCCGAGGGAGGTTGTGCTTCAAGCCGGATGGCATCGCTTGGCATCACCCTTACCTGTTCATTATTGGGAGATCGGCAGCGTTCCCCTCCCTCGTCCTGCCTCCCAGTGAATTCCCAAACAGGCCAGGATGCGAAGCCCACATCCTGCCATCTTGGCTTGCCGATGACCCTGGCTGTGGGTCTTGAAAGGAAACGCCTCCCCCCCCCCCCAAGACCCACCGGAGACATCGAACTTGGCTCTCTGCAGAGCGTCGAAGACACGGTTCCTCGGCTGCAGCTCAGAGAACATGGACTCCAGTCGAGAGATGCAACAGGCGTCTCTGGGGGTCGCCTTGCCGGCTTCGACGGCCATGTTCACACAATCCAGCAAGATGGTTCCTGGCGGGGCAAAAACACTAGGGTTCAAGGAGTCCCCCCCCCCTTCCGCACGATCTTCCCTGGGTGCCCTTTTCCCGACGGCCAAAGCGCAAGGTTTGGGGTGAACACCAGATTTCGCCCTCACCGTACAGCAGAGCGGCAATTTGGCTGTCCAAAGTTGGCACCCGTGCCTGGAGGAGCCTCTCGGTCACCAGGGTGGTGCAGGAGCCCACCAGCTCGACCGTCACTTTGCAGGGAGGGCGCCTCTCCCACTCCAGGGGCCGGTGGTCCACCACCTCCACCACGGCCGCCTCCAGCGCAGAGTCCTTGCTGGGAAGAGAGAGGAAGAGGTGGTCATAAGGGTGCCCCGTCCCGTGAGCAGCTGCCCAGAGGGGCTCGCCTGAAGTTGGGGGACGTTTTTAGGAAGAAGGAGGGGGGAGAACAGCTGGGGGACTTTGGGCATCAAGGAGTCCTCGACCTAGGACTCCAACTGAGCTGAACATTTCAGTTGCGAAGCAAGACGTTCATTAAATCGAGTTTTTGACCTGCTTGACGATTTTTCTGGCCATTGTTGTTAAATGGATCCCTGCGGTTTGTTGAGCTAGGAACCTGGTTGTTAAGTGAAATCTGGCTTCCCCGCTGGCTTTGCTCGCTGGACGGGTCGCAAAAGGGGACCCCGTGATCCCGGGACCGTCATAAATACGAATCGGTTGCCAAGTGCCTGAATTTTCATCACGCGACCAGTGGTCGTTACGTGTGGAAAAACGGTCCTCAGTCGCTTTTTCCAGAGCTGTTGTCAGTTCAAACAGCCGCTAAAGCAACATCGTAAGTCGGGGAATGCCTGTGTGTTGTTTCTGCTGGTCCGAATGGCCTCCGAACCAGCTAACGAGAGATCTCGCTGGGATCTTGAGGGATCCACCCCCCACCCCACCCCCAGCTCTCTCCGTCATGGCTCACTGGATCTCCAAACCGGAGGCCGAGGTCCAACGGATGGGCCAAGCAGCCCCGCTCTGCGTGGGGAGGAGCCCACCTGGGCAGGACGTGGTGGTCCACCAGCGTCAGGGTCAGCAGCCCGGCCTTATGCAGCCCCGCCAGGTCGATCTCATCCCGGAAAACGAGGTCTTTCTCAGGGATACGCTGCTGCAGGAGGAGGAAGGTGGTCTCGGTGCGCAGCGGGAAGTCCGCCCGGGGGATATTGAGGACAGGGACGAAGGCTGCCCTGGAGTCCGGAGAGGTCTGTGGGGGCCACAAGAGCATCGTGGGAAACCCTGCCCAGGAAAGGTTCCCCTCACAACCCCCTGCTAGTCGTTCCCGGCTCTAGGGGGCGCTGCTCCTCTCCGTCACAAAGCAGAGGGGGCTGGCAGGGGGGCTTCGGAGAGGCATAAGAAGCGAGCGAGGTGGGGGAGGGGCAGCCAGGGGGTCCAGGATCAGGCCCAAGGCACCCTAGCAAGAGGGGAAGAGCAGGGCGGCCCATCCAGAGGCTGACCTTTGCCAAAAAATAGGCGAGGACCAAGGTGGACACCGTGGAGTCGAGATCGCACGCTTCATTGCCCATCACCACGTGGATAGCCTCTCCGCTCTGAGAGTGATCCTGCCAGGGGACAAAGGAGGAAGTGAAACGAACCCAGCCACAGCTGAATTCGAGGGGAAAATCAGGATGAGAAAGGAAGAAAAACTCGGGTGAAAAACATCCGCGTTCGGCTCTCAAGAGGTCCACTTTTTCTGAATTAACTCGCTTTGAGATTAGAAGTGGAGGCGGTTTATTTTTATTTTTAATTCATCGAGGGGGGCTTGTAAGAGAGGTGCCCCCTTTAAATCCCATTTTGCCAGACATTTGGGAGCCCTAAAAAGCTCCCCCCTCTCCCTCTTGGCAAACAAACCCTGGTTTCCCAGCACCAGCAGAATGTAGGGCAACGTCAGCCGATAAGCCACCTTCAGATCACCTGAGGCTCAAAAGGTGGGATGGGGCCAGGTGTAGCGGGAGTGGCAGATGGAGGAGGGGCAGACCAGATATTAAAGGGGGGGGGGGGTGTTTAAAGTGCTAAAGAGGGAGGGCAGGAAGGGCCCAACAGGAAGGGCTGCCCAGGTAGAAGCCACCTGGGCAAGCAAAGTTAAGGACCGTGCTGCTTAACAACGGGGTTTCTGGTGTGGCCGTAACCCGAGGAATATCTGTATGAAACGTTCTGGACCTTCGGGCAAAATGTACGTCTTAAGACTTAGAGCCGGGGGGGGGGGGGGGTTGAAACCTCCCAGACTTCACCTTTTAAGATGGGTGAACTTCAACTCCCAGAATCCCCCCCACCGCCCAGGCAGCAGCAGGAGGAATTCTGGGAGTTGAAGTCCCTCGGTCTGAAAAGCGGCCCACGGGATCATTCTGGTGCAGAGGGCCATCCGGAAGCGCTGTCCAGGTTGGGAGGGTTGTCCAGTCGGGTCCGGAGAGCCACAAGATCAGGCCCCTCCGGCCAGGCGTGGCTCTGCACCCCCCCACCCCCCCGTGGCCTGTGTGCCAGGGAGGATGCCAAGCCGACGGGCACAAGCAGCTGAGTCACCCAGCTCCAGGGAACACAAGACGGTGAATCACCCGCAGACGGAGGTCAAAAGAAGGCTGGGGAAGCGGGTCAATTCCGCCCCCCCCAGGCTGGGCTGGAAAAAGCTCGCCCCGCCCCAGGCAGGGTTCGAATCCTGCCCATGGCCCCAGCCTTCTTCTCACTCCCCCACGGCCCCCACCCAAAGCCTGGCAGGGCGGGGACATTCATATTGCTGGCAGTCTCCACCTCCTTAGCAGTGGGCGGGGATGATGGGAGCCAGGTCCTGCCCGTGGAAGGGTGGTGGGCGGGGATGATGGGAGTTAGGTAAGGTTGGATCAGGAAATAAACTAAAGCGAAATAAATGATGGGAGCCAGGAGTCGCAGGAGAGGAGGGTGTGGGGATGATGGGAGTCGGATCCTGCCCGTGCTGCAGGGGAGGGCAAGGGGCGGGGACTCAGAATCATTCTGTAATGTAAACCAAGTGGAGCTGCCAGGAGCGGCTGGGGAGGATGGGAGCTAGAGTCCAGCACTCCCAAGAAGTGATAGATGGGAGTCAAAGCGGTCCAGAGCAGGTGGGGGATGCCAGGAGTGGCTGGGGAGGATGGGAGCTAGAGTGTGGCCTCCTCGGGAGCGGTGGGTGGGGATGATGGGAATCGGATCCTGCCCATGTCCAAGCAGAGAGTGGGGGTTGATGGGGAGTCAGGCTGGCAGAGGAGCCCAGCAGCGGCTGGGGATGATGGGAGCGAGCAGAGTCCCCGGGGAGCGGACGATGGGGCTGGTAGTCCTCCCGGAGGGAGGCGGTGGGGGTACCTGAAGAGCGGCCCTGCAGCCTGCCAGGAAGCGCTCCATGGCTCCGGACAGCCTCGGACCCCTCCCCACAGCCCGGCCGCACGTGTGAACGGAGGGCTCGCCGGGACACGTGTCACCCCGACCTCCTTTCGGGCGGGCGGCGGGAGGGGCCAGAACAGCCGTGCCTGATTGGCCGGCGGGGAGGCGGGAGGGCGCGGCTTCACCCGCCGCTCTGCGCAGGCGCCGGGAGGTCGCCCCGCCTCCTCCGCCTCCTCCCAGCTGGCGTGAAAAAAAGAGAGAGGGGGCGTGGCCGAAGCACGCGCTTTCCCGGCTACGTCACCGCGGCCGAAGGCGGCTTTGCCTACCTTGCAGGGCGGGCGGTAAGCGGTGGTTGGGGCGGGGGGAGCTGTTCCCGCGTGGAAACGGGTTTAATGCAGCGTGCACGGTCGTCCGAACGTGCATGTTTAACACGGGGTTTCTCCGCGGCTGGGATTCGCTGGGCTTGGGCAAGTTTTCGCGCAGCCCTGCAAGCCGGAGAGCCCGGGGCATAAAGTTGGTGGTGGGGGGGGGGGGCGACCGGGCGGGAGGGGCCTCTGAGCCCCCGGGACCCCAAGCCCCTCCCGCTCCAATCTGGGCTTCCGCGCGATCCGGGACTTCTCAAGAGTTCTGGAGGCTTCGTGGCCGCTTCCTCACCCCTTCATCCTGCGCCCGTTTGGCCCCCCGGGTGTGGGGGCGGGGCGGGAGGGGAAGCTCCCGAGACCCCAAGGGCCCCTCCGGAGGGGCCGCCCCTCGAAGCCCAACAGGGAAAGCCTTGCACGCCCCCCCCCCCCCCCCCCGAGGAACCGTGTGGCAGGTTGCAATGGGGCTCCCCAGCCTTTGCAAGGCGGCGGGGGCTTCTTCCCACCAGCTCCCGTGCAAGTGGGGCAAACTCCCCCCCCAAAAAAAGCCCCTCCCCTCCCTCCAGAAAGATTTGCGCCTTTCCTGACCCCCCCTCCGATGGAAGGCTCTCCTCCTCCTCCTCCTCCTCCTCCTTCCCTGGCTGCAACTTTGTTTAAATTGGCTTTTTATTCTTTTTCTCTCTCGGGGGGCTACAGAGTTTCCTTCCTTCCTTTGTTTTCTTTCCTTCCGATCCCTCTTTTCTCTCTCTCCCCCCACCCCCCACCCCCCTTTCCCGGCTTCCCTACAACGCCCCGGCGCTGCGGTGCCTCCTCCTCTCCCATAGATGTCCCTGCAGAAGGGCGAGAGGCTGGGCAGAAGCAACCCCAGCTGGGTGGTGGGGTGTGTGTGTCTGTGTCTGTCTGTGTTTTTTTCCCCCTCTGCCAGGCTGGGATCCTCCCAGCCTCGGCCTAACGCAGGGGGGGCGGGAGGGGGGGGGTGGCAAGAGGAAAGGAAAGAGAAGAACAGGCTGGACGGTGCAAAAAACAAACAAAACAAAACCCCAACAGGATTTATGCCCAGAAGGATCTAAGCAGGAAAATCCAGGTATGGCGTATTTGAGTCCTTCTTCAGTCTTCAAAGCTTTCCTTCTCTTTGCTGGAGTAGAACGGGGGGATTCGAATCCAGACCCGAAGCTTTGGAGGGGGGGCTCCTTTGTGCGTAGGTTATGCACCCGCCACCTCGCTTTCCGGATTCTCCTCCCTGGCACCAGCTGTGTTGGTTGGTGTTAAAGACCCCAGTGGGGGGGGGGGTTCATCCAGCTGTGCCTCTGCCCCCAGGGTTGGGGAGGGGGGGCAATTGAGGCGCTCTTTCCCACCACCCCCCCAAAACCAGAAAGGGGAAACGGTGGGTTTGACCCAACAAACTGCCTTGTTTTGCAAGCGCACAAAGTGTGCAACAGTTTCCTCGGAAAACAAAGTTTGCGGCAGAACCGAAGGGGCTGCAAACCTCCCAATGGTGTGTGTGTGTGTGTGTGTGTGTGTGTGTGTGAATTTACTGGAAGGGACGGGTGTGTATGTGCCATTTGGGGTGTGGGGTATGTGGGGGAAGAGGTGGAGAGGGATAAAATCCTGTGGCATGGATAACAGGAGAACGGATTGAATTCTTGAGGCGGGTGGTTAGGTTTCCTCTCTCGGTGGCACGTTCAATAAACCTTGCAGAGCGGGTGAGGGGATTTCTGGCTGTGTAGAGCGGGGATCTCAACACCCCCTCCCCCTTTCCCCTTATTTTGCAAGGCTGGGGAGCATAGGTGCTGAAGTCCCCGCTCGGGCAGGCTCCCCGCTCTTAGTGTCTTGCAGGCGGGCCGTGTTTTCAAAGCGAGGAGGTGGGAGCGGAGAGGCCCCAGTGATGAGGAGACGGTTGCATACATCTTTGGGGTGGGCGGCCCTGCCCCTCCCTTCCTCTCCCCTGGCCCCCTCTGGAAGTTTCCAGCTGTTGTTTAAAAGCAGAGAGATGTTTTTGTCAAAATACTGGTTGGGCGGCTTCTTTCTTGCAAAACAGACTGCTGCTTTGTCAGCAGGTAAATCCTTGCATGTACCCAGACACACAAACACACACACACACACACACAGAGTGCCATCAGGGCTGCCGTTTGCCTCATTTGCTTCCTGGGTGCAGCCTGATCTCTTCCAAATGTTCCTGCCGTGGACCTTGCTGGACACAGTTGGCCCAGGAACAGCTGGATGACCTCTGGTCGACCCAGGCCTGTCTCTGGGTGCATTTCTTTGGGCGACAGGAGGAAACACCCAGGGGTGGCGGCACTACACCCAAATCTCCAGGGCAGGGTCCAGAGGTCCAGGCAGGGCTGCAGGGGTCCCGTACAGCTTCAAAAGAGTTTCGTGGACGCTGAATTGTGGACCGTTTTGTGCACAGGTAGTTCTCAACTTACAGCCATCCGTTTAGCGACTGAAGCGACATCAGGACTGAAAAGGGGGCTTAGCACTATTCCTCAACCCCCTTCTGTCTGTCACCGCATTCCCACAGCCATGGGGGTCAACATTTGGGCCCTCTTCCAGGCGAAGAGAGAAAGGCAAGGCAGCAGAGGTGTTGAAAAAAAAAACCCACTTGATTTTCTAACCTTCTTGGTTTCGTTGTCTCTTTTGCTAGGCTCGGGGCCGGCTGGATGTTAAAATCCCTGCATTTTCCACAAATACAAGCCACTGTCTCAACTTTGGGCCATGAAGCTGGAGAAAACTAGATTTCTCGGACGTCCCTTTGCAGAAGAGAAGGCCAAAGCTGACCAAAACAAAACAAGAATCCCCTCCACAGCTTGAAGGACAAAATAAACCACACACACGCGCACACACATAGAAAGGTCAATAAAACACAGAATTTCCATTTCTACTAATCCGTTAAAAATTAATGCCCTGAAAAAGACACTGGGATCTTGGTGTGCGTGCATGTTTTCTCTCTCTCTATATATATACACACTTTTTTTAAAAAAGAAAAGCTTTAAAATATCACCCGTAGAGAAAACTCATCACCTTTTTAATGCTATTTTTTAAAATTTCACGAGCATAAATTTATTTTATTGTAAGGATAGCTTTGATTTTTTTTTTTTTCATAAAAAGCAAAAGCATTTTGTATTCCTTTTTCTGGGATAAGAAAGACGTTTCCTTTTTTTTTTTTTTTTTAAGTTTTTGTCTGTTGATCTTTATCCAGATCTGGTACAGATGAAAACTTGAAAGCGAAGGCCGCGAGAGAGGCAAACGCACGCACACACACACACCAGGTTTCAAATAATTGAGTGTAAAATCGGGGAGAAAAACGGCAGTATTGAATGTTCAATGACCCTCCTAGGAACTGGTGAGTGAAGGGGAAAAGAAAAAAAAACCAAATATATTTAAGGAACCTTTTGAGGAGTTTGCATCCAATGTTCATCGGTGCCTAACCAAAGGAGAAAAGACTCAGCCAATACAACCTCGTGCCATGCGCAATTTTTATGAAACGGGCGCCTGCTTATAGCAAAGATCAGAAAGGAATCTGTCGAAGGCGAACACAGGATCCAACTGAAGTTTTGGGTGAAGTTTGCGCATTTTCGGCTGCTGGAAAAGAAAAATTCAAAATATCGCCCCTGATTAAAAGAAACTTGCTTCTGAAGTCGGTGAAGAGGCTTTTTTTGGGGTGGGGGCGTCCAAAAAAGACAACCCCTTTGGGGAAAACCTCACATTTACTTGAGAAAAACTGAGAATTAAGAAGCCAAAGGATGGAGGCGCATGTGCTGGCCGCAGAGGAAGCTCGGGGGGAGACGGAGCCCGCTGAATCTGCCCCCCCTGAGCCCACGGAGGCCGGCCTGGGTGGCCAGGAGGTGGTTGCTTCTGATCTCCCTGCAGGGGCTGCCCAAGAGACCCCAGCCCACCTCGTCCAGGATGGTGCCCAAAGCGTCCCGCAGAAAGACGAGGGCCGGGTTTCCTCTGAAGAAGCGGCTGAAGGGGGGCGAAAGGAAGGACCCCCGTCCCCGAGTGAGGAGGCCTCCCCACTGCCAGCCCCTCCGGTGCCCGCCGGCTGCAGCCCAGCTGAGGATGCCCCCAAGCCACGCCCGTCTCCAGCCAGCCAGCCCAAGGCGCCGGACTTCTACTGCGTGAAGTGGATCACCTGGAAGGGCGAGAGGACACCGGTCATCATGCAGAGCGAAAACGGCCCCTGCCCGCTGCTGGCCATCATGAACATCCTCTTTCTGCAGTGGAAGGTAGAAGGGGCCACGGGGAGGGGGTCCCCAGCCCGGCTGCCCCAGCCTGGAGCAGGCCGGAGAAGCAGGGGGCCTCAATTTTTCACTCCCCCAGGTGAAGCTGCCTGCCCAGAAGGAAGTGGTCACCTCGGACGAGCTGATGGCTTATCTCGGTAAGGAACCACCTCTCCCCTCCTAGGCAGAGCGGGGGGGCCCTACCCACCTCCTTCCGTCCCTTTCTTCCCCCACCCCCACCTCGGCGCCACAATCCTACGAGGTAGGGCCAGCGTAGAGCGCGCCCAAGGTTGTCGCCTTCTGCTGGCAGAATAATCCTGTGGGCTCAAAAGCTAAACCCGACAGGCGTTTGAACAGGACGGGATAAGGTCTCCTGCTGGAGGAGGGGGAGGTCAGATTAGAAGACCTCTGGGGTCCCTTCCAGCCCTGGGATATTCTGGGTGCTGTGTGTTCTCTCCTCCCTGCTGCCAGTGGGAGGTCCTGCCTGACTGAGAGGGTCTCTGCCCCCCCTTTCTGCCCCTGCAGGGGATTGCCTCCTGTCCATCAAGCCTCAGGACCAAGCGGAGGCCGTCCAGCTCAACTTCCAGCAGGTGAGCGGGGTGGCTTCGGCTCTCTGCAGCTGGCATCCAAAATGGCGCCAGGGCCCTTCGGGAAAACGTCCGTTTTTTTCTTCCCGGGCAGAACGTCAATGACGCCATGACGGTCCTTTCCAAGCTGTCCACGGGGCTGGACGTCAACGTGAGGTTCACGGGGGTCTCGGATTTCGAATACACCCCCGAGTGCATCGTTTTCGACCTCCTGAACGTCCCCCTTTATCACGGCTGGCTGGTGGATCCCCAGGTGGGTGGCTCTGCTCCCCTGGTGTTGGGTTTGGGGGCCAGAGCGGTGGGGAGGGGCGAGATGAAATTACACCACACAGCCAGAGACCTCGGCCTAAATTAGAATTTGGCCCCTTGAAGAGGTCTGGACTTCAACTCCCAAGAATCCCTCAGCCAGCAGCTCTGGGAGTTGGAAGTCCAGACCTGGCTGGGGAATTCTGGGAGTTGAAGTCCAGACCTGGCTGGGGAATTCTGGGAGTTGAAGTCCAGACCTCTTACAGATGACCAAAGTTGAGAAAACTGGCTTAGTTAGCCCTTAATCCGCTGTTTCAACAGTGGCCTAGCTAGCCTGCTGTGCAGTCCTGCTACTCTCCTCCGATGGGTAGACTGCAGGCTTCACTTAACAGATAATCAGAGTTGGAAAGGACCTTGTAGGTCATCTAGTCCAACCCCCCCTTAGTTCAGGGGAGAAAAATCAAGCTATTAGTCCTGGAGAAATTTGGATATCTGTGCGAGGTTGGCCTTTTGCAAGGCTCAAAACCACAAGAGGGAAGTGTAAACATCCTGTTTTTAAATCCGTTCTTGTGGCCTCTCTCAAAACTGTAGGCAGTTCCGTTTCCCCCGCTCCCTGACACCAACAACACCCCTGCAGAGTAGCACTGCAGCACAGAAATATAAACCCAGTTCTTGCTGTGCCCACTCCTGCCTGCACCCCGGTTTTAGGGTGGGCGTTTCTCTCCTCTCCTCCCCAGATTCCCGAGGTGGCCGGAGCTGTCAGCAAACTGAGCTACAACCAGCTGGTGGAAAAAATTATCACTTGTAAACACTCTAGTGACCCAAACTTGGTGACGGAAGGTAACGTTGGAGTGGAGGGGGCTATGCACAAACCATCCTTTTCAAATTTGGGGGGGGCTCTTTGGGGGCATTGCTAATAGCTGGCAGGCCTGGGAAGGTGGCTTAGAAGCCACTAAACCCGGGGGGGGTCCATCCGTGGCAATTTTAAGCCTTGTGGACTTCTATTCCCAGAATTCTGGGAGTTGAAGTCCACTAGTCTTACACTTGGCTGGGGAATTCTGGGAGTTGAAGTGCACAAGGCTTAAAAGTTGCCCAGACTGGCCACCCCTGATGTAAAAGGATACATGGGCTTGTTTGTCCTCCCTCCCTCCATCTTCCCCCCCCCGCCAGGCCTAATTGCAGAACAATTTTTGGAGTCCACAGCATCGCAGCTGACCTACCACGGTCTCTGCGAACTGACCTCCACCGTCAAGGAAGGCGAACTGAGCGTTTTCTTCCGAAACAACCACTTCAGTGCCATGATCAAGCACAAGGTACTTCCTTCCCTTGGGGAGTTGGGGTGACTGACGGTGGCTGGGGCTCCAAAGCTTATTTGCCACGTAATTGTTCCTGACAAATAAACATAATTATGACAACACCCCACTGAGTTTGTTCCTCTTTGCGGTTTGTTCTTTTAAAACGCATCAATTTCTTGCCCTTTCTTGTGAAGAAGGGCTTCACCTCTGCTAGGGTTTCATGCCAACGTTTATCCTTTTTATCCTTTTTATCCTTTAATTGTTTTATATTGTCATTTTTGCCTTATAAAGCCTCCTCCAGTTGCTTGAAGATGGGATGGACGGCATGTCGATTGAACCAAAACAAATACTTTAAATCTTTTAGCTAGAACTTGTCGGTTTTTGTAATAATGTGATTTTTCAACATAGTGATGGTTTTATTTTAATGTGGTGAGCTGGTCAGAGTCGCCTTGTGGCGAAATGAGCAGCAAGTAGATTTGGAAAGGAAGGAAGGAAGGAGGGAAGGAAGGAAGGAAAGAAAAGGAAGGAAGGGAAAGGAGAGGGATAGAGGGAGGGGAGAAGGAAGAAAGGCAGGAAGGAAAAGAGAAAGGGAAGGAAGGAAGGAAGCAAGGGAGAAAAGAAGGAAAGAAAGGAAAGATAGATAGATAGATAGATAGATAGATAGATAGATAGATAGATAGATAGATAGATAGATAGATAGATTAGAAAACTAAAGCAACGTGAGGTTTGGCTTCACTGGGGTGAAAATGCAGGATAAATAAATGGAATAACTGGTTGGCACAACCATTTCTACGCTGCGTGCCCAAACGGGTCCTTTTGGCCTCTCTTCCTGCAAACTACATCCTGGGGTCTCCGGTCCGTCCACCCCCTTCCCTCATTTCCCGCCTCCTTTCTTTCCCTCTGGGCTCCAGAGCCACCTCTACCTGCTGGTGACCGACCAGGGTTTCCTGAACGAAGACCAGGTCACCTGGGAGAGCCTCCACAACGTGGATGGGGACAGCTGCTTCTGCGACGCCGAATTCCGCCTGAGCCACACGCTGGGCAAGGAGGCCGCAGGGGGCTCCCCGGTGGACCAGAGGCAGGTGGACCAGGTATGCCAGGGGCGGGGAAGGGGGGGAGGGGAGCCCTGGCAGAGGGGCCCAGCGGGGAAGGGCACCTGCGTATCGTCTTCCCTGGTGGGATGGCTGCAAGGGCAGGGACCTTGGGAAGAACGGGGGCGGGGGGGGGGGCTCTAGCAAAACGAAACCCCAAAAGGCAAGCCTTTTTTCGCCACCTGGCTGACATATGCAGGGATTGGCAAGGTGGGGGGGGGGGAATGCCCCCTCCGTTCCTGGGAACTGGAGTTCTGCTGGGTGGATTTGCCTCAAGGACACAACGCCAGGGAGAGGGATAATCGCTGCTGGGGTCTCCAGCCTCTGGAGGGGCTCCGAAAGGAGAAGGCGGCTTTAAGGCACGGGTTTTTTTTGGGGGGGGGGTCTCGGTCCTCCTGGCCCCCAGCCTCTTGAAGCCTTAAGGCAGTGGCTGGGTTGAAGAATGCAGACTGTTTGGGGAGCAGGAGAAGCCCCCGCTGAGGATGTTGGGTGGGATTCGGGCTTCGGGGGTCTCCAATTTGAGCCTGGCGGACTTCCACTCCCAGAATCCCCAGCCAAAGTCTTCAAGCTGGCTGAGGGATTCTGGGAGTGGAAGTCGACAAAAGTCCTCAAGCTGCCATGTTTGGAGAGCCCTGGCCTGGGGTGCGGATAGGAAACAGGTAGCCTTTCTGACCCTTCCCCGTTTTCTTCTCCTCCCCCCCCGCGCCCCCCCAGGACTATATGATTGCCTTGTGCCTCCAACGCCAGCAAGGGGCCCCCGTCATGAGCGACCTGGAGCTGGCACAGCAGCTGCAGCAGGAGGAGTACCAGCAGACCCCGCCGGCACCCAGCCCCTTGCCCTCCCCAGCACAGGTACGGAGGGACCCCCACCTGGGCCCGCCTCGGGAGGTAATTCTACCCCCTCCCCAATTAACCCCTCTTTGCTCTCCTACCCTTAGGGGAGAAGCCCCCCACCTCCCCGCCCCGCCGGAGAGCGCAGGCCGCGCCAGAAGGTGGACACGGACTGCACCGTCCTCTGAGGCCAGCCTGGCAGGAGCCCCACGAGGGCCCCCCCCTTTTCCTTCCAGGGCCTGCAGCTGAGAAGGACACGCCCCCCTCCCCTCAATTTGCTTCAGGGGCACGTCGGATGAGGGTCTCCTGCAGCACCCCAAAGGCTTCAGAACCTGGGGGGGCCGGGGAATGGCTCTCTTTCGGAAAAAAAACCGCACACAGGAGGGGGGGGGCTGGATTTACTTCTCCCACCGGGGTGGGGGCGGGGTCTACGAGGGAAAGGGGACAGGGAAGCTAAGAGGGGAGTCAGCTGGGCTCCCCACGAAGGTTGGGCCCATTTATGGGGAGGGTCTCCCATGGGATTCCTGTTTCTTGTTTTGGGGTGGGACACAAAGGGCCGCTCCGGTTGGAGAAACTGAGTCCCGGCCTGGAAAGGCTGAGCCTTCGGATGGGGGGGGGGGGGGCGCACTTCTCTGGCACCCCAGATTGGGGCATCGCCAAAGCCCCCGAGGGCCCCACGTGTGCCCAGGCGAGGGCCCGCTTGCAAAGTAACCCCCCCCCCCCGGATCAATCCAAGCGGTGCAGTTTTTCACCCGATGGGAAAATGGATTCTTTTGCCAAAAGCACCTTTTGAGGGGGGGTGTTTAAACACTGGTTTTTTTCACCTTCTCAAAGCCCCCCCCCCCCCGAAGCGATGCAGAAACTCCTCGGGTGATGCAGTCCAAACGAAGTCTCTCTCTCTCTTTCTCTCTCTCCCTTTTTCTTTCTCTCTTTTGTTCTCTCTTTCTTTCTCTCTTTCCCTTTCTCTCTCTCTTTTTCTCTCTCTCTCTTTCCCTTTCTCTCTTTTTCTCTTTCTCTTTCTTTTCTCTCTCTTTCTCTTTATTTCTCTTCCTCTCTTCTTCTTTGTCTTTTTCTTTCTCTTTCTTTTTTTCTGTCTTTCTCTCTCTCTCTCCCCTTTTCCTGGTTTTTGAGGGCTAAGACCGGACTCCATTCTAATATCGCTTAAGCCTCCGTTTTGAGTCGATTAATCGATGAAACCTGCCTCTGTTTACATTGGAATAAATAAAGCTAGTCCTTCTGAAGGCGAGGGGCGTGTGTTTTTTTGAACCCTGGATAATCCACTCGGTTGAGACGGAGCCAAAGAGACGGTTCTGGTTGTTTGTTTTATTTTTACGAGCAACATTTTCAGTTCCGGGGAAGGGGAAGACCGGATTTTGGACAGGGGGGAGGAGAGGAAGGATGTGCGGGTTGCACAGGCATATGGGGTGGGGCTGTGGCTGATGGGTTGCGGTCCCTTGATGGGAGAAAATGGGGCTGAAGGAAAAGGTGGCGGAGCTGCTGAGGTGGGGATGTCAAATCTTTTTCTAGAAATCTAAGCCCCCCCCTAAAATGCCATCAGACTGAAGCTGCATCCGCTCCAGAGTCCGATTTCCCAAACTGGCCAATGAGAGGCCCATCAGCGTTTCCCGGCAGCTACTCAGAGGTAGATTGCTCCTGATGCTGGAGGGTTTTTTTTGCTACTTATTATTATCCCCCACTTTTTAAACTTTGACCCAAGTTTCGTTGCAAATACCTGACAAATCTCGCAGGTCTCTAAATGCCCCCACAGACACCTCCCAGCCCCCTGGAAAGCATCAGAAGAATTTGGGCTGGGGGAGAGGCGGCAACCCGTCGAACCGGTCAGGCTGAATTCCGGAGCTGCCTTCCTTTGCAACTTCGACTGCGCTGGAAGGGAAAAGTGGGAGGGGTTTTTTTTCCCCTCAAGGTAGACTGCCTCTGGGTGGGGAGGGTCCTCGCAGCCGGCAGCGTGTCTCACAGATCTTCCGCCTTGCACAAGCCGAGCAAAGCCGCCTGGGGTTCGTTGGGGGTTGCCGCCGGGGGAAGGAAGTGGGGGGGGGGGGCAGGGGGGAGAGTTTGGGGTAAACCCGTCTGGAAATAAAGGGGTCGGTCCAGGAAAGGGGTGCTTAATTCCCACTGGGAGTGGGGGCGCATTTTCTGCCTGCCTGTATCTTCCGGATACTTTTGCAGTGAAGATACTTTTCTGGGCCCCAAATTCTAACTCGCAGATAGACTGCTCCTACAGATGGAGGCTCGGTTCGTAGTGAGCCGGTCTGTATAGGGAATGGACAAGGCCGCATAAAATTGGGCTGCTCGACCGAGAAGCTTTGAGGCCAGCCTACCTCGTAAGAACGTCCTGAGGATAAATTGGAGGGTATCATGGCTGGGGGTGGGGGGGTGGGGGTGGGGGTCCTTCCTACAGTCCTTGGGGGCCACTTGGGGTCTGTAACGTGCCCTTGAACACCCCCACCCTCCAACAATGCTACCTGGGGCTTTACCTGAATGAAGGAGTAGAGTGAGATCCCGTAGCGCCTCTTGAACTCGGTGCGGATGCTCAGGAGGTCCGTCTCGCTGCGGGAGACCATGATTCGAACGGCCGTCCGGGGGTCGCGTCCTGCTTCCTGGGAGGAGATGACAAGTTCGCCTTTGGAAAGTTGTACGCCACCCTGCGTGGCTTTGAAACGGGACCGGGTGGCAAATAAATGTCATTTTAAAAAAAATCATTGAAAAAGCTGGGAAGCTGTGCAGAGCAGGACTTGAACTCGCTTCTTTGCCCCACACCCTGATGGACGGTGGGGTGGGCACCATAAGGGGAGACCCTCACCTTAACGGCCGAGTGTAGCTTGCTGGCAAAATACAGCGGTGTGTTTCTCAGGAGGGAAACTGCAAGAGAGATTTTACAAAAATCAATAATAATAATTACAATTATTTTCCCCCCTGTTGTTCTGCTCCCTTCTTATTTCTGGTCTGAAACGCTGCAAGGGAGGGAGCTGCACAAGTTGGATTTCTGCCTGACAAAGCACTCGCCGATAGAGAGGGGAAGGCAGGACGGTGAAGCCAAACAGATCCGGTTTGAAACTGGCTCATCAGCTTGCAAACTTCCCAAGCCCAATTTATGCTAATTGTTCCCTGCTTAGCTCGTTGGAGGAGGAGGAAGAAACGGATTTAACTGTCAAGAGATCAAGTCCCATAAAAGCCGTGCTTGAAATAGCATCAAGAGGGCTAGCAACTTGGATTTTTAGAAGCAAAGGAAACGAAGGCTCTTGGATCTTATTCCGGGTGTTCTCAGCCCAGGCTGTGCGAAACAAGACACAACTGAGGTTGAGAGGGCTCTTGGGCATGTACAGAAAGCACCGCTGGAACTATCCTCATCTCCCCGCCCCCCGTCCCCAATTTAATCCAGACTAAAAAGGGGGCCTTCCAAACACCCTGCATTTGGGCTGCACCTACCCAGCGTTAAACCTGCTTCTCGGAAGTTTTCCCGGAAATGTTTCTCCATGGTTTGCTCGACTGAGATTCCGGTCGTCTCTTGGTACCAGCTGAACACTGGAAGAACGCCAAGGGGAAAAAAAGGGGAGTTTAAAATGAAATTATTGGGAGAACGCTGCCCACTTTGTGCCCTGGAATTTCCTTTAGCTTTGGAACAGGGACTCTGCCAGGGTTGCAGTGGGAAGCCTCCCCGGTCCGGTCTGGCCCGAAAAATTAGCACGTTTGGGGATGCCAGCGTGGTGAAACACGACCGGCCGCCTGGCACGGGGTTGTCCTTGCCTCTCCTCAAATGTTCGGGGCTGCGTTGAGCCAGGATCCGGACCCACTCGCTCCCCTCCGGGTGTTCAGCGTCCCCACCGGTGGCTGCATCAACCAGAGCCTGTGGGAAGGAAGCCCAGGTGTTTGGGGGAGGCTGGAAATGGGCACCCAGAGGGACCCCGGTTGCTGGCCCTCCCCATCCCAGCGTGGAGGCACCCCGAAGTCCCCATCTCACCTTCGAATCTTGCCGTATCAAGACGTAATCGATCATCCCCGAATAGAGTTCCCGCTGGCCCTGTGGAGAAGGACGGCGTGAAAAAGTTGAGAGACTTCGCCGCGAAATAGACATTCTTTTCCTAAACAGTGCCAGGTGCGGATTTGGGCCAAAGAGTTTGGACTTTAAAAGGAGAAGATGTAGAGAGCGTTGAATTTTAGGAAAGCACCCCACTTCTCTGGGGTTCTTGCATTGCATTGCATTGATTTCATAGTTTTGTAAATGTTCCTTATGTTAGGGTTGGTATGTTATGTTAATTTTATTTTACACTTTCATAAATGATATGACGTGAGATATATTTATTATGTGATATTTATTATATTACTTTCATTTATTTCATTTTATACTGTTATATGACATTGTAGTATATTTTATATTTTATTCATTTTATTTTAGTTTAATTTTATTTATTACCTTGACCAGGGCGAGAAGAAGGTCTCTAAAACCACCGGTGGTGCCACAAGCGATGTCCTTTTCCAAGTCTGATTTGAAATCTGTACAGGGGAAAGAAGGGAGAAGGATGGAGTTTTAGCCCTGCATACCTGAGCAAGGTGTGCTTCCCTTCCTGAGAAAATGCTCCGAGATAGACTGCTCTTGCCCAAGGGAGCTCCGCAATATAACCTCAGGAAAGAGACGTTCTTGAGTGTCTCAAATAATTTAGGTGTTGTGTATGATTGACAGAGTGGTCCTTTCTGAAAGTCTAGGGCAGGCATTAATTACGTTTTTCTTAGTCTACACCAGGGGTGTCCAACTTTGGCCACTTTAAGACATGTGGACTTCAACTCCCAGAATTCCCCAGGCAGCCCAGTTGGCTGTGCTGGGAGTTGAAGTCCACACGTCTTAAAATAGCCAAAGTTGGACACCCCTGGTCTATATGAATGCTCAACAAAATAAAAAAAAACTTTAAAAGTCAAAGCTCACAGTTGTTATCATGTTTTGGGGAGTTCCGCAGGCACGAAAATTTTTTTACCCTGTTTATAATAAGCCAGGATGTCTTGAAGCTGTTTTGCCGTTCGAGTGGAGATAATTTCAATCAAGGTTTCCACCTCCAGACCCTGGAAAGGAAATGTGACCCAGGTTAGGAAAGGACAACTGCCGACTTTGCAAGGTGTGGGCCTGTGTTTGTCCCTGTCCATTTTGCAGGCTTTTTAGTTGGGTTGGATTAAACTTCCGCTAATCTTCCTTGGTCCGACTGCAATGCTCCTCTCAAGTGTGGCTGTGTCTTCACACATTCCTGTATTCATTTATTAAATCATTACATTAAATTATGAAATGAAATTACTATGCATGGGAAGCGCCCTTAAAAATAGCTGGGAATTAAAAAAACAACAACTATCTAATTCCTCCCCAACCCTTTTTAAAATGGAGGAAACACTTTTTAAAAATGGTTGTTCGTGAAAGTTTGTTGCGGGGGGTGGGTGAGAGGAGAGACTTCCAAGACCTGGATCCCCAACCAATTCACCCCACACACATTTTAAAACCAGGTGTATAATCCGATCCACATTGTGTTAAGAATTGGGGGGGGTTGTTCCTTGGCAGAAATGGGGTGCTTGTCTGTGGAAGGGGCTACCTGCAATCCCGCCTGGATCTCCAGGGCATCGGTTTGAGCCGCCGGACGGAGCAAAGCCCCGATAATAATCTGGAACTGGCTGGGGAAGACGGCCTCCAGAGTTTTCAGCAGCCCCTAAAAAGAGAGAGAAGACAACGATAAATTAGGGGAAACCCCACTCCCAATGGAGCATATATATATATATAAATATATATATATATGTTTTCTTAAGTTTTCGTGGGTACTTGCATGTATGGAATTCAGCTTTGTTCGGGTATTTTCCCACATCATTATTTTATATATATATGTGTGTGTGTGTGTGTGTGTGTGTGTGTGTGTGTGTATATATATATATATATATATATACACACACACACACACATACATAGATATACATATACATATACATACACATACACATACACATACATACATACATACATACATACATACATACATATATATATATATATATATATATATAATGTGTGTGTGTGTTTCTCTCTGTATATATTTATTTGCTTTAGTGTGGAACCCATAGCTTGCTGGGTCTGCCCTAAAAGCAGTCTTCAAGGGCTGGCCCCTGCAGTAGTAGCACATTGCAGGAGTCTACGTCAGCGTAAGCTCTTTCCCCCTTTTTCCTTTCCAGGAAGGGCCACGAATTCTACCCCCCCCCCCCCCCCCCCCAAAAAAATCCCCTCCTGGCCTGACCTGTTGGGTGAATTCGAGGAAGGCTTCCGCAATTTGTTGCCGGTGCTCGCTGCTCCGGCTGGTCAGCAGGTCAAGGAGGACTCCGCAGTCAACCCCTTTGGGGAGACCCGGCCCCCCCAGTTTCAGCCGAGGCCTCCAAAGCAGGAGTTTGCAGGCTCTGCTCCTGCCCCTCGAGTTATCTGGGCTCCCGGAAGCGTCGAAATCTGCACGTGAAATGGGTCCGGATATCAAAAGCCTCATTATCGTAACGATTTCCTCGATGCTTCGGCTGGGGTTAAATTTATGCCTCCCGTCACCCTCGTTTCTCCGGACAGGTGGCCTCCTACCGCCCACGTTCCTTTTTTTAGGACACGCGTGTCCTTATCTAGGTGTTTTTGTTGCATCGGATGGGGTAGTTGAATTGTGTCCTGGGTTCAAAAGCCCGTTGTGACTCCAACTCCCACCCTGCCAGGTGACTGTACAGATTGCAGGTGAGAGGGAAGGGAAGGGGCAGCAGGTTTACCTTCGCCAGTGATGGCCTCAAAGAACGTCTGGGCATCTTTAGCGGCATCAAAATTCAGGTGAGGTCGAATCGTTCCCAGGGTGCCCCACGTGGCTGTCTAGGGCAGAAAGGAGACGGCAGTTAGGACCCCAAGAGGTTTAAATTCTGCAAGCCTCCCGACAGCCAACGTTGGAGTTTGTTTACCAGTTAGTTTATTGCCATTGCATGTCGTGCAAGGAAATTAAATGCCATTTTCAGGGTACATTAGAACTGTAGAAATAAAACACAATCACACCTCCTTCGCATTCTGTACAACTGCATTGAAAACCCCTGACACTGCATGAATATTACACTCTATCGGGGGGTCCCCAAACTTGGCTACCCGTGGACTTCAACTCCCAGAATTCTCCAGCCAGCATAGCTGGAGAATTCTGGGAGTTGAAGTCCACCAGTCTTAAAGTGGTCAAATTTGGAGACCTCTGCGCTGTACAGTAGAACTCAACAGAGTTTACTACAATCTCTCCACTGTTTTCATTTGGCTGGTGGGGAGGAAGATTCCTTCGGCTGCAGAGAGCAGGATCTGGATGACCGGCTGAGCCAAGCCTCCACTAGCCAAGGCAGTCTACCTGAGGGACCTTTCCATTCCCTCCTCCTTAGGGGACAGCACCTTGCGAAGGCCAGCGGCCTCCAAAGACTCTGCGGTTACTTTCGAGAAAAGAAGTTAAGACTCACCTTTTCTGCCAGGGGCAACTGCTCCAAAATTTCATCCGCCATGGGTTGCTGCTCCAGCCAGTTCCTTGCGCACTTGCCAAGCAAAGCCTTGGAGGGTGGGTGGGCGGAGCCCCACTTAGACAGCCCCCTCCCCGCAGCAAGTAATCTCTGGCTGCGGCAGAGAAGCGAATTTCCAAGGGCAGAAACCCCCTGCAAGGAGCTCCCGGTTCAAGCTAAAATAATGGGGGGGCGGAATACAGGTGAGGAGTTACCCTCCAGGAAATGCTCCCAGGGCAGCAGCCGAGGGGTTCTGAATTTGAGCAAGGGGAGCGGGCAGAGGGGTGTTCAAGAGGAAACTGGAAAGGAGGGGGGGAAATCCCGGTTTTAGGCTGAATTTCTCGAAAGGAGGAGCTGGACAAGGATTTGGAGAAAAGCACCTGGAGCTCCTCCGAGTCTCGGGGTTGCTTGAAATCGCCCCCCACCCCAAGAAGCCTCTTCTGACCCCCCTGGCCTGACCTCCCCTCCCACCCACCCCCACACACTTCCCCTCCTCCCCAAGAGCAAAAGAGCCCGCCTGGCTCCAAAGCCCCCCTCCCCAAAAGGGAACGCCAGAGGAGCCGAGCGCAAAAGTGGCTGTTTCTTCTTTCTTTCTTTCTTTCTTTCTTTCTTTCTTTCTTTCTTTCTTTCTTTCTTTCTTTCTTTCTTTCTTTCTTTCTTTCTTTCTTTCTTTCTTTCTT